AGCCTGTCTCGTTCTAGACACCATTCTCCATCTTTGGGAAGGTGCTCTGGCACAGGAAGGATAAGAAGAGTATGGGAGGCCCGAACAGCAAGAGCTAGGGCCAGAATCCTTCTCCAGGTCAAGTGTTTGCAAAATAAAAATGTTAGTGCCTTAAAAAGCAAGCATCTGAAGTAAGTTAGGGTACGTGCTGCCACAGAATGGGCATAAATATCCACAGTAGTTTACTATGATACCTAGAACTGTCTTTTCACTTTTTCCTCTTAATAGATGATTAATTGCACCCTGGTAAAGGAGTTTTTTTTATTTTTTTTTATGGCTACTATATTGCAACTCTAGACGTCCTTTGTGCAGTGTCTCTCAGCAAGCCCCAACTGTAATAACTGTTTGCTAATTGTAAAATCCTTATCCAGAATGAGGTTTGGGCAAACAATATGTACTACTGTAATTACACCGTAAAAATGTTGTAGTCCCTTGATTGTTCAGAATTAATCATATAAAGGCCTAGAAGTAAATGTAGGTTCACAGTTATAAATGGAAAGAGGGGAAGAGAAGACACGTTTCAAAACTACTAAGAGTTTATTTTAAGCCCACAAACTCAAGCTACCTCATTCTTCAAGAAAAACCTGTGTGTCGTTAATTTAAACTATATTTAAAAAATAATCTGACACATCATGGTTAAGGCACACAATAGTCTTCCTAATTGCTTTGATGACTTTGGTTATGTTTACAAAGAATGACTTACCTGAACCTTCTCTTTTTATCTCTGCTAGAAGACAAAAGAAAAAAGTTACCGGAAAGCAACAACACAAAGTAAATCCTGTTGTCAAAAATCTGTATATCAAAACTGACCTTTTCCAAATTTGGAACGTGGCTGCAGACTAGAGATAACTCCAAACCTGTTACCTAAGTTTTTCCCGGAGAACCCCTAGGGCAGTTAGAGACCACGGTCGTCTAAGTGTATTTCGCAGTGAATTTCTCTCAGCGAAATTATACTTACACAATTTCCCTCGCAGTTCATTTAAGGATCGTAAACGTAGACGTGCCCTGTTGGTGTTTGGATTGGACCCTTCCCCCCACCCCCCTCCACCCGCAGTCGCACAAATGCCTGGAGAGCCTGCTGGAGACACAGTGCTCACACCAGGGCCAGGAACCCTAGGAAGGCGCCCGGGTACCCGCCGAAGCCGGAGGGGGTCCGGTTCGGGGACGCGTTCGCAGGCCGCCGGCCCAGCTCAGTCCTCTCCGTAAAGGAGCGAGGTGCCTGGCGGAGCAGCGCACTTCCCCGAGAACTAAACAGAAATCGTCTTTCTGAGACGGGGAGTTTCCATCTTGGCCTGAAATTCTGCTTCCAAGTTCATGTCGTGGGGGCGGGGGAGGGGCTGGGGTGGGGGGAGGTGGCTTCATTGCAGGACTCTCAGGGAGGACTATTTTTTTTGTTGATAGAGCCTGAAGTTATTATTTTTAAGATTTTTGAATCCTAAACTTTACATTACAAATGCATTTAAAAAAAATTTTAAAGATGTGGAATACAATTCAGGGTTAGGTATACAAATGTTCATTATGCGAGTATCCTTGCTGATGAGGTGTGCCCCTCCCTCCCCTGGCAGTTTTCCTTAACTGCCAATCCCACCCTCCTCCCCTAGCAGTTTCCCACTACTGCCTATCCCTTTCTTATATTATTATGATAATTGTTCAAGTTCCGCTTATGAGTGAGAACATATGGAACTCTGTTCTTTGTTTATGTGATAGATCACTGAGGACAATTTTCAAGAGTTAAAACACCAGGTGAGGCCCAGTATTAAAGGAGGTCCATGCTTTTTATGAAAGTTATCTCCAGAAACGCAGTCAGGCCTTCACAGTGA